ATGAAAAATTAGGGGCAAATTTAGGGGCCCTAATTTATGGCATAAATGGACTATCAAGCATAATCCAAAATGCACAAACAGGAGAAAATAAGCTAGGTGAATGAGACCTTCTAAAAATTAAATTTTTATGTGCTTCCAAAGATTTCTCCAAAAGAGTAAAAAGAAAACCTACAGATTGGAAAAAAATATTTGGCAACAACATACCTGACAAGGGACTTATCTCTAAAATTGATAGAAAACTCCAACACCTCAACAACAAAAAGACAAAACAATCTAATTCAAAACTGGGCAGAAGACATGAATAGACATTTCACCAAAGAGGATATTCAGGCGGCCAACAAACACACGAAGAAATGCTCACGATCATTAGCCATTACAGAGATGCAAATCAAAACAATGACTACCATCTTGCCCCAGCACTAACAGCAGAGTTCAACAAGACAGAAAATAACAAATGCTGGCAAGTATATGGACAGATTGGGACCCTTATACACCACTGGTGGACTGTAAAATGATACAGCCACTGTGGAAAACAGTATGGCAATTCCTTAAAAAGTTGGAATTTGAAATACCATTTAATCCAGCAACCCCATTATTTGTGATATATCCTAAAGAAGTGAGAGCCAGGACAAGAACAAGAATAGACAGATGGACATTATTGTAAAAAGTGTTAATCACAGCACTACTTATAATAGCAAAAAGATGGAAACAACCTAGGTGCCCATCAACAGAAGAATGGATAAGCAAACTATGGTACACACACACACAATGGAATACTATGCAACACTGAAGAATACTGTAGAATCTGCAAAGTGCTACATAATGAGGATGAACTTTGAGGACATTATGTTGCGTGAAGTAAGTCAATCACAGAAGGACAAATACTGTATTAGTTCATTATTGTAAAAAGTCAAGGAAAGGTTTATATATGGAAGGAACTTTCCACCAGGGATGGGAGAGGAGGGAAGAGAACACCGCAAAAATAAAAAATAAAAATAATTCAAAAAAAAAAAAAAAAAGTGTAGCTGCTGAGGTTGATTATGTACAACCAAGACTTGGTTTTTTGGTTTGGAGGTTTAGGGTCACTGTTTCATGTGACATCCTAGTTAACTGGCCTAATAACATGTTTAAATGCCTCTGTTCTACCTCCTATTTCAATGAGTAGTACCCGGGGTCTGAAAGGCTTATAGTTAGCACAATTAATTGGTCTTTGTTTGCCTGGAACAGGCAAAGAAGGAGAGTTAGGAACAGGAGGAAGATATGGAATATGTGGCTAATTGCCTCTATGAACAACTACCTCCTCTGCCATGAGAACAGAATAACTGGATGGTGTCCAACTACCATAACTGAACATTATGATCAAAGATTCCATAGATTAATCCTGAGCAAAAGAGGGAAAATGCAAAACAAAATTTCAAACTCTTGTGAACTCCAGACTTCTTGAAGCCAAGAATGTTGGATAAACCCCTGAAGCTATTACCCTGAGATAATCTTTAAACCTTAAACCAAAAGCATCCCCTGAAGTCTTCTTAAAACTAACAATAATTTAGATTAACTAGTGACCACCACTTGTCTGTCAGTTTATCGTATGATGGTGGCTTGCATGTTGTTGTGAGGCTGGAGGCGATGCTACTGGTGTTTCAAATACCAGCAGGGTCACCCATGGTGGACAAGTTTCAGCAGAGCTTCCAGAGTAAGAGAGATTTAGAAGAAGGAAGGTGCCATCTACTTCTCAAAGACTTGGCCAGTGAAAACCTTATGAATAGCAGTGAAACGCTGTCTGATATAACACTGGAAAACTTTATATACCGAAAAGGTACCGGGGCCGGGAATGTCAGTAAAATTTCTAGGGACGATTTAGTTGGGTGAGACCCATGTGCTGCTTGAGGACACAGTCAATAAGGTACAAGTTTATCCCACCCTTAAAACATCAAAAGTACAGATCTTTTGGGATCTTTGGGGTATTGGAGGGTACTTATACCCCACTTGGCCCAGTGCTTGAGACCACTCTATTGAGTGGTAAAAATGGTACCCTTTGAGACTGGGGCCAACAGCAGCAAGTGAAAGTGCAAGTGTTGGCGGTACAAGTAAAAGCACTGGGTACCATATGGGACTACATGTCAAGACGACCTCCTAGCATAGGCTAGTGAGCTGCTGGAGCCACCTCCCCTCTCTGCTAAGACAGGGGACTGTCAATTGCCAGAAGATGGTACACAGATGGCTCTAGCTGAGGTATGCAAATCTGGCTCAGGGCAAAGCAAGGCTGTATGGATGGTCATCAACAATGAACCCTGACTTTTTAGGCCAATGGGCTAAGTAAGAAGCAGTGGCTGGTAATAGGCAAGGTTCTATGGGACAAAGCCCAGTGGTAGAACATCTGAGATACCTCCAAACCTCAGACACTGACCTGTTTTTCATGTAGCAGCCCATTCACCTCTTTCCCTGACAGGGAACCAAGAAGCAGATAGCACAAATTAGAATGGTGTATCCAGAAAAGGGGACACCATAGTGCCTGTGCTGGCTGGAAAACAGCCAAAGAGGCGGGCATAGCAATAAAGTATATTGATTTGGTGACTGCTGTACAAAATTGTTCCATGTGCTCACACCAACTGCCAAGGCACCTGCCCCAAATCCTGGACAAATCCTAAGGGGACACAATCAGCAATGGACTAGCAGGTAAATTACGCAGGCAAGCTTCCTTAGTGGGGTGCTGCCTGAGGCTCTGAGGTTGATAAATTCGGTTCTCAATGGAGCTTTAGCCCAAGTGGGAGTCCCAGGTCACCCTCCAACCATGATATACTCAACTCCAGAAGTATATCTGCTCAGATTGTTGTTAAAGCAAAACAGTATGGTCTTCTGAACACCTTAGGACCTGGCACTGGGGAGGTGAACCATCTATTGGTTCTTGTCTTGGGTCACCTCACTGGGGTGGATTGGTTACTTTGACCCTCTGGAGGTGGAGGAAATGACCAGCCTAACATAGTAACCCATCATCCTGCTGCACGGAGGGCCTCGATCATCATGCTTCACCACCTCTCAGGTGACCTCCCCAGGGTAGCACATATGGTCAGAGAAAATGCCAACAGCAACCACTGTTCTCACCACCCAAGAGGAAGCCATGAGCATGATCTTAATAGAAGGGGAAGAGTTACCCTTCTCAGTACCTACTAAATACCTGTATTTCTGACCATAGGTATGTCCTACTTGGCTTTCTTCCCTTTGGGGTTGCCATCATCTTCCTAGACTGGGCTCAAAACTTTGCCACAGTCCACCACAAAAGCAGATGTTGGGTCTGTGGACAGCTCCCCTTCTCTAGTGCTGAAGGTATGCATTGGAACGTGGAGCTCTGGCCAGACTGGTTGGGCAGCCACGGGAGACATATGGAAGCATGTTATGTAACTAAGTGGGAGATAACAGAATAAGAAAAGGGGGTACAACATAACCTTTTCTGGAGCCCAGACAGTCAGATACCTGTACCCTCGTAAGAGACCACAATACCTCCTGGTCATCACCACAAGAGGGTGTTTACCACCTTCTGGGATTGATTTACATTGGTTGGTGCCTGAACAGGGTGCTGGGGGAACCCGCTTGTCTGTTTTGAGCCAAGTACAACTCCATGGGTTCCCTTGTCTCCCTCCAAGTAGTCCCTCAGAAAAGTGGCTAGACTTTCATGTCCCACTGCCAACGGGTAATAGTGCCAAATGCCACTGATTGAGAACAGAACAAATACCCCCACATGACAACAGGAGTATACCTAGCTGTTAATGGTACCCGATGGATGTGTGTTTTCTATTTGGAGCCCTAGTTATCATATGACTGGATGATGCACTGTACATTGGGGTTGCACTACACTGCAGGAACTCTCAGGGAACTCCACACTAAAACCTCTGAATTACTCCATGGTAAAAACCAGGTGGACCAAGCACAGTGTTTTCCAGTGGTATGACTACCTTTTAAATGGCTTTGGTTCCTTCCTTTGGCTCCATGGAAGGCAAAGGAGAAACTGAAGCCCTGACTACTTTTACTAAAAAAATATCAAACTCACTGCTGTTGAGTCAGATCCCACTTACAGTGATCCCGCCTTGGGTTTCTGAAGTGGTATCATTACGGAACCAGATTGCTCAATCTTTCTTCCAAGGAGTGGCTGGTGGGTTACTTTTACTAAACAGGCCCCAAATGACAGCAGGGAAAGCTTACAGCTGTTAACAGCAGAAACCACTCAGATAAGGAAGGTAGTCCTCCTGAACCAAATTGCTGTGGACCTTCTGTCAGCTGCTTAAGACAGAACATATGCCATAGAGAAGACTGAGCATTGTACCTATATATTAGACTACCTAGAACATCACTGATTTGTTAGAACATACAAAGAAGCAGTTGGAAGCCCTGGACACATGTGATAGCTGCTCTGCCACGACTGCCTGGTCTTCCTCCTTCCCCTCAAGCTGGTGAGGGTTTCTGCTGAGTATAGGCCTTTTCCTGTGTTTTGCTGTGCTTGCCTATGTTGTTGCTGTGGCCTGTGCCTCCAGATGCAGCAATACTGCCTACTCCTACCTACAGAGTTGTCACTCTTTGTGCCCTTAGGAGACCATGCAGAAGATGGGAGCACATAGCCTTAAGGGGTAGACTAGAGGAAAACAAGCTTTGAAAAGTCAAATATGGTTATGCTCTTGCATTCTGCTAGCTCATTTCCACTTGCTAAATCACTCATATATAACACTTGCTGCAATGGCTTTGGAGGTTCAAGTCCTGGAAAGAAGCTCCATTTGTTTACCAATGCTGTAAAAATCCTGCCCTGCTTTCAGGGATGCAAACACTTGAGTCTATCCTGTGGTCGCCCAGGGCCTCACATTCTAAGTAAGCCCCTCAATAAACTCCTATACCAAAAACCTGGAGTTGCCAGTCTTATTCTTTGGTTTCTGGGTCCCCTCCATATTTGGAGGCAAATTTAGAATTACTGGTCTGTGTTCAGACACTTAAAGAACAGGAGCAGGGGAACTTACTGAAATGTCAACAACTGTCTTGATAGCCTTTTCTTTTCTCTTTATGAAGTCATCATCCTACAAGACAAAATAAAGATTAATCAAACTCTACATGAAGATTAAAACTCAACTGTACTGCTCAGATATCTACCTTATAACCTGACTTCTAATGACTACTTTGCCTGAATAAGTATCAATTTTCCAACAAATTGAAATATATTCCACATGGACAAAGGCCAGGACCTCTGCAGATGGCTCTAACACAGATTCCTACAGTCTGGTGAGAAGAAAGAGGCCAGCAGGTATAGTGGTTAAGACAAGAGCTTTCATTTCAAATGCTTATGAGCAACGAAACCTTGTGCAAGTAATCTTTGAACCTCAGTTTCTCTATTTATAAAATAGGATGACAAAGCTTATGTTAGGGGGTAGTTGTGAGAATTAAATAATATATCAGGCATGCAAGATACTGAGATTAGCACATGAAGTATTTGATGTTGTGGTTAGTTGTCCTGGAGTCAATTCTGGCTCACGGTGACTCCATACAGAACCGTTCCATAGGGTTTTCAAAGTTGTGACCTCTCAAAAGCCAGGCTTGTCTTCTGAGGTGTATCTGGTTGGGTACAAACTGCTAACCTTCTGGCTAGTAGTTGAACACTTAACTGTTTCCACAATCCAGGGACTCCAAGTATTTGACAACTGTTAGGTATTATTATTGTAGCTGTAATTATTACTGTAAGACTGTTCTATGTGGGTGGTCAAAAAGCATTACAGGACTATACAAAAATATATCTTGTCTTCTAATTTACTAAAATTTCTGGATCCCAGTACCAAAATTCAATGTCAGACCACTGTTTGCTAAGCTGTGTTTCATGCACTGTTATTCCTACAAAGTGTTCCTAGATGCAAAAGGGGCAAGAAGGTGGCATCTTCTGACCTCTTCTAACTACACAAGAATAGACAGAATCACCATCAGCAGCCCAAAGCCTGTTCCTATGAGGCCAAACATGTCAAAACCCTCCAGCCCTCTTACCAACCTTGACACCAACTATCCCTTCCATGGCACCCACCACCTCTTTGCTGGGTTCGATAATTCACTGCAGTGGCCACACAGAACTCTCATATTACGGGGTTTATTAGGGATGCAACAGGCTATAATTCAAGTTCAGGAACATGCTCAGGATACAGTTTTTCGATCAGGACAATCTCCCCTCTGCTGTGCCCTTAGACACACCTCTCTGGCCCTTGGCCTCTCAGCCTGGCCTCTGTGGGCCAGGTAAGCCTGTCTCTCTGTCCCATGCCTCTTGGTTCCACTGCTGCCATCCCTAAGCCAGGCATCTCTCTCAGTTGGCACTGAGATTCCCCCTCTGCCTCTAGGAGGACTCATTTTAAGTCTGGCAGAGTGGCAAAACTAACCAATTCCAGTATCAGAGTTCTACACACCTGAGAGAGAAAGAACTTTACCCAAAGATTACTTTGTGCTGAGCCAACAGAAATACACCAGGTGGATGACGTTAACAATCAGGAGTTTAAAAGCAGCTACCCAGTTGCTCACGGCAAATTACACCACAGAGTTAATTGCCAGTCTATTATAGGGAATAACTACTACCAGCTGCCCAGCCAAGTTGACACATATTTGCATAGTCCCACTCAGTAATCCGGTGGGAGTTAGAAACACTATGGCTAGAAAAGCCATACCATGCAACTCATTACACTGCACTAGAAAAGAGGATTCCAAGATTAAATAAAGTTAGAATACAAGACAGAACACATCCCAGCCTCAGATTCACAGTGTATACTGACATGAATGCTCCAGAGTAATCCTGTGGTAAAGAAACCAGTTTAACCTCTATTTAAATGGTGTTCCAAAAAGCCAAACTTACTGCCATTGGTTCGTTTCCAACTCATAGTGGGCCCCATTGCATTTCCGAGGTGGTAAATCTTTATGGAAGTAGATCGCCCCCATCTTCCTTCTGCATACCCATTAGTGAGTTTGAACTGCCAACCTTCTGGTTAGCAGTCAAATGCCTTAGGCATTATGCCACCAAAGCTTCTTAAATGGTGCCGTTGTTGTTGTTGTTGTTAAGTGCCGTCGAGTCATTTCCGACTCACAGCGACCCCATGCACAGCAGAACGAAACACTGCCCGATCCCGCGCCAGCCCCACAATCCCTGCTATACTTGAGCCCATCATTGCAGCCACC